CTTGATTTCAGTTAATAATGCATCAAAGATTCACAATTAATTATTTCTAAGAATGGGAATACAAACTCACGGTTTGATTTTCATAGAGTCCTTTTCTGCGAGTGAAAATCGCAGCCCATTCCTTGAAAAGATCACTGAAGCTGCACACAATGGTGAAGCCTATAAAATAGGAAATAACAAAACAATTCATAGCAAGAAATGAATATATAAACATATTTAAACAATTAACGTTTCATCTAATGGCGATCGCCGAGACTCCAAAAAATGAAAAAGGCAATCTGTGGAAAAGCAAAATTTACCGAGAACCAGAGTGTGAAATGAAAGAATGTTCTATTGGGTTCTGCATAAGAGGAGTGTTTTTTATTTCTTGCTGTGCTGGTTCCCCTCCCTTGTGGGTAGTCATCAAGTTGCACTTTCCTCTCTTTAAAGCCTTTAATCCAATCATAAATGACTTCTCCATATGGCGCTGAGTCCCCATAAACCAAGTGTAAGCTTCTATGATCTGAGCAGGTTTCCAATTCAGTTTAATTGCAAATTTCATATTAGGTCTAAACTCAAAATTTGCCATTTGAAGGGTAGCTATTTTGAGATGTAATCTGTCTTGATCCTGACCTTGCATAGAAGCTGTAAAGACCATGTTCGAACTTGGAAATCTTTGTTCCTTTTAAAGTCATAGATTTCGTCGGAGAAGTTTTTGGCCCACCCTCGTATAAAACGGAAGTGAATAGTCAGACAAGAATTGCATGCCATGAGACCATTTACGAAGAGGAATTGGAAAACCGAAATGTATAACACTCATTGGAAAGCCTGAATCCTACCCAGGAGGAACCCCAATGCCTTAGCTGCTAGTACAACCTTCAACAACATCTTAAACAAGATGTCAAATGTAAAAAGAAAAACAATCACAACATTGACGGTCGTATCTGCTGTCATATTGAACGCATTTTCTCATAGCAGTCCGATCCATAACCTACGTAGAACCGTTAGGCTCCAAGACTGATCACAACAAAAGGGATTTGAAATATTGATCGCCAAGTAAACAATATAAGATAAAAAATGAAAAATTGGCGAAAATGAGAAATTCTGCAAGACAATGTAAAATAGAGAAATGAAATGATTATAATCAACATCTCAACTCAATTATCGCAAAATCATTATGGATAGAGAAGCCGGCAACTAACGAAACTTAACAGTTTTAATGAGGCCAGATTATACCGTAGCAAACCTCAAACGTTGAATTTAACACAACTACTGCAACCTCAAGAAATTCATCGAAAATTTTGACAAAACTAAAACTGCGGAACTTAAAACGCCCGAGATATCCCGGACTCGGTAATACTTACCGAGATCCTTTTCGAGTCTTGCAAATGTAGTCAGATCGTCGGCATAGCGTAAATAAAGGTCCACTAAATCTAAACAAAAAAAAAACAAAATCAAAAATTAGAAAGTAAAAAAAATAATTAAGATATACAAGTTACCTCGCTGTAAGCAATCTCTTTCCATTTTGAAGTGGTCTCTTAGTCCGGCTATGGTCTTCACCAATTGTTGTAGCAAGTTGAGACTGAAATGAAGGTGATCTGCCATACTTAGATATTAACAGTGCAGTATATTAACCTCAATACAGAATTTACTTAAATCGTCACAAGTACGTACTGCTGACAACATTGGAGACGAGGAAAGTAATTGTCTCAATAAAAAAATAATTACTAAGAGTCTTGGACACATTGACACTTCATTATTACATTACCTTGGAATAATAAAGTTTCGTTGAAAAGTCGCGAAGCCCATTAGGAGAAATATACATAGCACTTGATTTGGGTAGAACATAGTTCTTATGAAAGAATCAAATTCCATCACCTCGATTTTTGGCCATAATTAACCAGCGATACTGATCATTCGCATCACAGCCGAACCAATAGGTATTGTTTTGTATAATTTAACAGTATTTCAGCTTTTCCAAGACGAAGTCTACGCAACTTCTGCGGTTACAAGTTATTGGATATCAAAAAAGGAGCAAATACTAGAAGCACACAAAAAATGGTGCTGGCCTACCGCAATCGATAGGTGCATGCAGGAATTAGGTTGAGAGAACTAAGAGGAAATTCACGAAATTGGCATTCGAGTGAAAGACACAATTGAAATTGAGAAAGCATAAAAGTTTGAGATACTTCGGCTCAGGTTCTCTTGCTATCTCAAAAAATTACAAATCCCACCTTTACTAAATAATGAGTTGTATAAAACCACTGACATTGTAAGAAATTTCGCCTGGTGATAAGGATAGACGTCTAAATGTGGAAGAGGACTCACTCTATTGATGATACACCACTGTATGCTGGGTAAGTTACCAAGTTGTCAATCTGCGCAACACTGTATTTTTCTTTGGCCGGCCTTCGCCATTCCTAGAAGGAAGAGATCAAAAGTAAAATTCGAGAACTCACTTCCTCACTGATGAGGAAATTGAGGACGCAGGAGGCATGGCGGAGGATAGGATGATCGGACAAATAGGAGAGCCACAATTCAAAACTCAGCTTCCGCTTTGCCGTCAGCTCCGCTCGGAGCTCTATTGATTGGAGCAAAACTTTAATTAGTTTAACACACAGTGAATTAATAAGAAATGAATGGAGGTACCACATTCCAGGCTTTAAGAAACAATTACTCCCCATGTTATTAAGTAAAAAGACACATTAATTAAAAAAAATAACTAAATAATTTTGTTAGTTTTAACTATACAAAAATTATGGATTGCTCAGATTGAGTAAATAGATTTTGAGAATATTTATTACCTCAATGAGGGATCGGAGTGTTTGAGGCTAATCAGGATTACACATAGAAGATGATCGACGCTAATTCAAGCAATTCGGATTTGTTTTAAAAGCAGAAGTGACCCATACTATTTAGGCAACCAAATGAAAGAATAGAGATTAGAATCACGATGAAATTACAATTAATACCTGCATAGGGACAGTCCAACACCCTTTAAAATGAGATAATAAAGCAGATCTAAAATTTTGTGGCATTCAAACTTCCTCCGGGAAAGAAATTAACAAAAAACATCAAAACCTAGTAAGCACAGCAATCAGATTTATCTCCGGCATACCTTTGACACAAAGGGAAATGGAAATCGGAAACACTGGAATTAACAATACAAAATGGCTAATATATATATTTAAAACACTTAAATGGAGAAATACCTAAATAAATCTATACCATTGACCATTTATAGGATATTCAGGTTTATTTTTAGATATGCTGTCGACTTTCCGAACAGTGCCCAATTGTTAGATGGTATTGCCATGCATACGTAGACAGAACTGATAAACTCCTCCAACTCTTCAATTTCCCAAACCTTTGATCCAACTAGAATCCCGCGTTACACAAATCGCTCGTTTCTTAAAAACTTCTACAAATAGGTCTATCGGCTAGCTACTCCATCCATAGTCTCTTACTAAGAGTCTCTACTAAGTCTCATTCAAGATATATTTTAACTAAATCAGTTATACTTATATTCCATGTTTGATGACAACCAACACAACAGATCATTGTTGCCTATTTGTTCAAAAATCATATGAAAATATAGAAAAAAAGCATACATGACGTTTGGTGAAGAGAGGTTATTTCAAGCAAAGCAAAGTTCAAATACTGCGTCGTCATTAAGATTAAGGCATTAGCGTTGAGGGTGCACTCACTTTTAGGTCTCTTGGGTGGTAGAGTGGGAACGAAAATAAAGGGAAATACTCTCTGGAGGGTATCATAAAGAGCCTGAAACTCTTTATACCTCCTCGACACTCTTACCTGCAATATGTGCGTGCATTAATAATAATCTGTATACTTACGTCCGAATATTTTTGTTCAGGCAATAAATCGGTAAATAAATCCTCCGAAAACTGCACAAAACAACAGAGTTCAAATATGAAAGGGAAGTGTACCTGAGTTTTTATTTCGAACTCATAATGAGCGTCTTCGTGAGCAACGAGATTGTAACTCACTATAGAGCTAATCCAGGATGATTCATGAGTCGACTTCCAGGACCACATGGATCCATGAAGCTGGGAAGACAGACAAAACACTAACACGTGATAGGTACATCCATGTGCAGCAAGAGTATATGAAGTTTAACAAATAAGCAATCTTACAAATCCATTTGAAAAAGTACAGAAATCACTACTTGAATACCACAGTAATAGTAAGCAAATAGTTTTTTTAAACTGAAATAAAGCGCGCATAAAGCTCCGAATCATAAAGCGATACAAATAGGAAAATGGTAAGGTGATTGATAAAATAAGGCGCTTAGAGCACAGCAACTCACCACTAATGATAATTTGAAATCGTTCAATTCAATCGGCCTAAAAAGTAGGAACCTCGAAAGCGATCATAATTTAAATTTAGATTAAAATGTTAATAACAGTTGGGGCGAATATTAGATTAGTGGTAGCATTTTATTACATGAATATTAGAAATGCCACTCATTTAACCTACTCGATATATTCCGGAGTCTTTAAGGAAAGCAAATGATTGAGTAAAAAAGAATTTGAAAAGGGACAAAAGGTACAAAAACTAACGTGTGCATTTTTCACTGGCGAATGCAAAAAATTTCGGCGAAATAAATCAGGTCTCGAAACTGACGGAGTCGAAAGAGTCTTTCCTTTTTTTGACAAAAGTGTTTTAAACTGGATTTTTAGGTCTTCGAGTATTGCTCTGATCTTAACGAACTGATCCTGAAATCAAGTGCTCAGTTATGATACACCACGAAACATCGAGGCATTGTCAATTAGCAATGATAACCAACCTCCCTGTAATTAGTTGCGGGGGGTGGAGATGGATTATCGTCGGTCATAGTACCTAAAGCAAAAAACAATTGCAATGAATATCAACAGCAATTAAGATGCACACTATATAACCAGTTTCAATATTACCAAATGAGAAATATTCTGCTTTTACATGCTCATACATATATTTTAACTCATCGATTTGCTGTCCAATATGAGATAAAATATCCGTTTCCACACTCATTGACCGTTCTGAAGGAAAGCAGGTATCAATAACAAAAAGGACGGCATAAGCTTTTTAAGTAAATTCATGCATAGACAAAGAAAATTAAACAGCTCCCATTGCTAAAAAAACACAACCCACATCTTGGACAAAGTTGAAAATGCAAGACACGCAGCACAGGACGCCGCCCTTAATGGCGGCGAAACCGAAACCATGTACCAATCAACCAATCACGGTCAACGGCACGGATGGAAGTAATAATGCTGAACTTGAAACACCCTACACCAGAGACGACAACCTTCACAGAGAATAAACAGGTCTGAATGGTCAATATATATTGTTTATACGTATGCATTCGAGTACTTATCACCACCCTACCTACCCCTCATTCCTTTTCCGTGTTTCATGTTTGAATACTATAAAACTAACCCGAAATTATACTTGTGCGGGCTTCTTCATAACAGTGAACCGCGAGCTGTTGTTCGACCAAAATAAACCCTTCATCATCGCCCTGCACGTATCACAATTAACTCCGTGAAATATTTTTATTTATATTAAATGTCAGGCTTTATGACAGTATAATTACCCCTTTCGTTGACTTGGGGCTTCAGAGAAGAGGAACATTAGTCACAAAAGTCGAGGGGGCAGAAGAGTGATTCACACTTTGATAGCCAATTTAAACAAAAGGATTCTTCTAAAGGATTACTAAGACAGTCCAGGGTTTATGTGTAGTACCCGCTTGAGCGAACAATTAAATTAGTATACAAATGAAAAGGTAAATTACCATACACCCCCTTAGAGAGATACCAGCAAATTCAGTTCGTTGCTTAACAGTCAGTATATCAGACAATTTACACTACTTTAACTAATGAGGTCGCAGCATATCAGAGATAAAAGGCAAATCCTGAAGTGGCATGAGGGGTGGAAATATCGAAAATGGAAACGAAACCACTCCGCTCAGGACCTCTTTCTAAGCAAAAATCACCACTTAAACCTGTAATCTGTGTTCAGCGTTTTAAGACCCGTTGAATAGGATGCAAAAGTTATCAGTATGCCCATATATATTGTTTTTTTGTGCATATGCAGTAAAGCGTAAGAAAATTTATCCGAAGGAAAGAAGGCGACAGCGGGTAAAAATGACACTGGGCAAGCAACAGGAAATCACCTTTAATTCGGAGAAAAGACACACACACACACTTCTGTACACAGACACACACACACACACTTATATATATATATATATATATAT